TCTGCTCGAATCCACTTTCATCCTTTTTGCAGATTTTGCCCATTATTTTCCTACTTTTTGTTATATACCTTTCTTCGCATGATCATTTTCTCTTTATATATATATACATATATTTACAAGAAATTATTTATTTTATTTTTATTTTATTTTATTCATTACAACACCCTACAGTGAATACCAATTGCAAACACAGAACATAACATAGATATAAAAGACAATAATAAGTAATAGACTACAAAGTCTAAAAGATACATGCTGGTTACTTAATGGAATTTTTTATGTCTGCAAGTCTGCAGTTAAATATACCCGTATCCATGCAAAGGGGAATGATGTAAATAATTTGTCCGGGCCGCAGGTTTTGTCGGGATGTCAGCCTAGGTACGTTAAACGATAATTGACCCAAGAACTAAATCATCACTAGCATTATTGATCCATTTAAACAGAAAAATCATTGACTGGCAAGTGCGCCTTGCTTCAAGACTGCTGATTAGATGTCTCTCAAGTAAGGAATAGGTATACCTATGGGCGGATAGACGCCATCCGTTTCGGTGACAAATATTTTAAGAAACGTCTTTGAACACATTCAAGCCTACTTATGTGAATAATATGATGCGGATTCCAAATTAGCAATGCGTACTCAAGCTTCGACCTAACATATACATAATACAGCAACTTCAAGGTGGTACTCTGAGTGAAGTTACGACAATTTCTTACAATAAAGCCGTACATGCGGTTTGCCTCGGAAATTTTGCTGTCATTGTGTTTGACGAATGTTAGTTGGGAGTCAAATGTCACGCCTAAGTCACATAAAGTTGAAGTCCTTTGAATAGAGGTACCTGACAGGGTATAGTCAAATAACAGAGGATTTTTCTTCAAAATGTAAGACATTACGTAACATTTATTGATGTTCAATTGTTTTGTCATGTCACATACTCCGACGATTTGATGCCATTAAACATCACAAATTGATTTCTTCCAGTGAGGTAGGACTTAGATAGTTGTATTAAAGACTCGGATAATCCATGAGATTTCAGCTTATGCAATAGCATGATGTGATCAACTCTGTCGAAAGCCTTGGAGAAGTCTGTGTAGATCACATCAGTTTGTAATCCTCTGTCAATGTTTTATGCTATGGTTTGTGTGAAGTTCATCAGATTTGATACTGTTTAGCTCCCTTTCATGAAACCATGTTGTTGAACACATATTTTTCTGCTGACATGATGATATAGTCTGTTATATATTAATATCTCTAGAACTTTTGAAAAACTGCACAACATTTATATAGGTCTAAAATTTGATACATAATTCCTACTACCGTTTTTGTGTATTGAACATACTTTAGACAACTTCCATAATTCTGGAATTGTAAGGTAAGACACAAGTTGAATTAAACGGTCAAAGGACACGCCAACACAGAGGCACAGTCATGCAAAATAAAAGCTGGTACATTATCCGGTCCGGTAGTCATCTTAGGTTTTATTTGCTTCAAGGCTAAGACAACTTCATCCTCCTCAAATCTAGTAATTTGAATAATAGTTCATTGCTAATTAAAAAGTCATCAGTTTCTTCGGTGACTGATGAAGACGAGTAGTATTTGGAGAAGTTATCCGCAAAGGCATTTAATATCTCGTTTGGTTCCAAAAGTTCATTACCATTGTAAATCATCCTACTTGATATGCTTGTTGATTTTCACTTAGAATTTAAGAAGCCCCAAAATTTATTCGAATCTCGAAATTAGCGGAAAAGAATACATTCATATCGAAAGCTATTTCCAAACTTTCTCACATGTCATAATAAAGGCAGAAGCTTCATTATGATTCCAGTTCACCTATGTGAACCTAGTTCGTAGTATATATATATATATATATATATATATATATATATATATAGTTTTCTAGAATATAGGTACGTTCAATGATTAATAATTGTATGCAACTGATCCACACTGCAGGCTTCCAAATTGCGCCACTAGATATTTATTTTTTCTTAGGTAACACCAGATTGAAACGAAAGAATGTTTGTGTGAATTTCTGTCTCATATGATGGTGCTTATAGAAAACAGTTAATTGTAAATAATTAACTCTTCTAGATCGTTAGATTCAGACCACCAGCTCTAATGCGATATAGCTTTCTATCTTATTTTTGTACCTTATAAAAATATCGAACAACTTACATCAATTTTGATTTAGAAGATTCGTTTATTGAATCAAATTTGACCGTAAAGTAATACTCGTAGACATGTTCATTATCTATCCGTCAGTAATTTTTCTGTGAGGAATTTGGCAAACATTGTCGTTTTGAAGAAGAATGGTCGAGATCGCATATGTATCTAGCATTCAGTATCGTCATCCAGGTTAATAAGGAAATTAACAATTTATCCATTAAAGTAAAAGTGAGGTCAAAGGAACAGTGCTCTTTATATCAATAGGATGACCATTAATATTAAAAGTGTTTTATTTATAATGCATAGGCTACTTTAGATAACGTGCGCATCTGTTGGGTACTTATTTTGTTTATCATACGTTCAACTTTCACATTTGCACGAGACGCTCAAAGAAACACTTTTTTCACTATTAACATTTAGTTAAGAATATGAGACATCCAAGAAAACTCACCTTACAGTCCACAATGCATTTTTACTTCCCACGCCAGTTGACGAAATGATGGTTTTTGGATATTAGATAACATGTAAATAACTAAAAAAGCATGTCACTCATTTCCGTTGGTCTGTCTATCGGTTTGTCCGCTGACCCTTGACACCTCTGTGACTGAAAAGTATTTCGCTCAAATTTTTCTGAAATTATCGCACAAGATTTGCAATATACCTAGGACGGACAGGCTTTGTAGATTTTAAAAATCGGTCTAATGGCGGCGGAACTCGGGGCAAATAGCGAAACAAGTAAAAATCGCTAAACCTTCGTTTTTTGACATATCAGAGACTCCTGGTCATTTTCTGAAGTTTTATCTGTATGGGTTGAATATTGGAGGGTGTAGGATTTTTGCGTTGAAAATGTTGAATTTTTGGTATGATTGAATGACATTCTAGTAGTTCATTTTTATCCAAGTAGGCTATAGAATGACTCCATTCAATAACAATAATTTTAGAAAAAGGTTGATCAATCAACACGTTTATTTTGATTGCATAGTCAATTTTTATCAATTTAGATTAGAAACATATTTTTTTAAATCAGTGAAAAATAATGATGTTTTACTATCATGCAACTACAATATCTTCTCTATAGAATACGCATGAGCCGACAATCGTACCTATGACTTCCCTTAGTTGTACAAAAGATTTTTATTGAGAACATACTTTGTTTTTCAAAAAACTACAATAAAAACAAAAATCTAGGATATTTTGGTTTGAAATTAATTGTGGTTTTATAGGGTGTCAGAGCACATATTCGTCACAAGGTCGTACGAATTGAGGTCAACAAGATAAATTGTAAATTGTCAGATTGTTAGTGCTATTGTTGTAATGACTTGAACATTCATTATCTTTCTTCTTCATCTTCTTTAATCTATGTTTTAGCGCTAAAAAAGGGGCCAAGTGTCATTCCATTAGTGATAATGTAACTTGAAAAAAATAAAAAAACATTCTAAATCTTATTTTTCGCAAATAATAAATTGAAACGTTTTTGCCCTAGCACAGTCCATATTCTCGTTCAAAAACCCTCTTCGCACGTTTTTACCGAATAGTTTGTCCACTTACAATTTCCCCCGGAACTTGGTTCGATTTTCTCTAGATTGCCTGGATTAGGATCGCAATCTTCAATTATAACCTGTGTCAAACATTATGTAAATACCAATTTCATAACTCCGATGATCTAACAGATCTCTCATCGACTTGTATTAAGATTTTACTAATGGCTTTTTTAATCATTGGTCGGAAATAATTATTCGTTGTTATAGATCCATAATCCAGTATTATCACTGAAAAAGTAAGTAGGTCAAGAATGATTACACAGTCTGATGTTTTTTAAGATTAACGTATTCAAACATCGCTAGCAGGACCTTTATGCGAGCCTTTATCTTGTTGATTTTGTGAGGAAATCCTTCATTCGTGTCGTTTTTTTATTGAACGTGGAAAGCTTCTGGATTATTTGTTTAACATGTATAGAGTAACTGGTCCACATTTTTTATTATGGCCTTCCCTTGTTTCACAAAGGTTACGACTGTTTACTTGATTGGTTATTCAGAGATCAAAGTACGGTTCTAACAATAGTCAGTACAAAGGCTGGCAATGTAAAGAACTTGTATTTTGGCAGAGTAAAGCTTACCAATTTCCACGTTCTACTCACCGCCAAATGAAACCACATCTGTGGTTTGACCAATGACACAACCACAGGACAAGTTTCAGATTATACAAAGACCACAGGTGCCATTGTCATTTCGTGCTCTGAAAAAGGCCTCCGAGGTAGCCGAAACCTCAGTAAACCTCCCACTTTTACATCTGTGGTTTCGAATGTTATATTAATAAGGATTATTACAAGTAACGACTTCGGTAGTACTGGTAGAGCTTAAGAAATGCTGAACAGTGACCAAATGTGGCGCGACGATGACTATAGTAATCACGTGTGAAACGAGTACTTCGGCGGTTCCCACACTTGGTTGCTCTGCGTATTGATAGCTCCAATTTTTTCGCTTGTTTGATTGGGGATATATCTATTACACGGCAGGGCATAAATACCTCCGAATCGTATAGCATAGAATTTGCACGAAACGGCTATAGTGGATAAACTTTATCGCAACTATAGTCAGGCCGGTAGCCAGGATTTGGGTTTGGGGGCTCGCAGAGTCTACTTATAAATATCACAATGCACAAGGCTCATAGTCAGCGGCGCGAAGGAAGTTAAGGAACGGGGGGGAGGGGGGAGGGGTAGGAGTTAAGCACGAATTAGTGTAAGGAAAGGAGACACATAGGCTTATAATTTTATAAATCAATGTAATAGAAAAAAAGGCATGAAATTATTGTAGAGCTATAGATTTATTTATCTATGTATATGTGTAAATATAATGTGGTAAAAACCTGAAAATAACACCTTTAACTCGGAAACTTTGACCTGTACTATCAAAAAAGTAATCTTCTAGATTTTTTTCCGATAAAATGTCTAGGACCTGATCAGGATCAAGAGCAATATCCCAGTGAATAGAGATCATAGCGAGTGAACTCAATCTTTCATGGCCCATAACACTTCGCGGTAGAGTTTTAATTCTTTTCATAGTGGAAAATGATCTTTCTACGCTAGCTGTTGTCACTGGCAGAGTGGCTAAGGTAGTTAGAAGTATTCTGATAGGTACCGTGAAAATAATTTCCATTGCAATAATCCAACAGTTTTAAAACCCCGGTTGATTGATCAATGGACGATATCTTCGCACACCACAACCTATATTCTGCCTTCACTGCCGTTGATGATATCTTATCGTCGAAGTATGGCGCTAAGTTGTCTAACTCATCGGCTTTACTCACATTAGCAAATCCTGGGAGAAGTTGGATTAATAATAAAAGAATAATGAAGGTGAACAACAAATAAATGTCCAATATTGTATCGGTAAAAGAAAATACCATAGCTACGAAAGACGTCTTTTTATAGTGGTAAATGAATATATCCCTACTTCCCTACTAATATTATAAATGTGAAAGTGTGTATGTTTGTTTGTATGTTCCGCTTTCACGCCAAAACGGCTGAACCGATTTCGCTAAATTTTAGCACAGATATAGACTAGACCTCAAGAACGGACATAGGCTCAAAATTTTCAATTATTTGTTTCATATATTCACATAATATGATTGAGATCACTTGAATTTTCTCAGTTTGTCTTTTATGTTTAAATCTGAAAAAAAATTCTTTCGGAATTTCGGGGGGGGCTTAAGCCCCTAAGCCACCCCCCTGGCTACGTGCCTGAACTATACCCACAGTAATTATATAAAACAAGCACATCGAATATTTTTTTGGCTGACTACAGCCTTGAGAAATCTTCATGTGCTAACGGTACATCACGTCGAGTGTTGCAAAGGAGAATGGAATTCTGGTACCAAGACCCACAGCGATAAGTGATATTCGTTGTAAAGGAGTTTTAATAGCACAGTCAGGTCGGTTCTCCGGATACTTCCTCGTAGAACCCAAACAAAGCTCATATGCAGATCTTATATGTATCTGATTATATATGTACTGTTCACAAGGTTGACACTAGAAGCTATATATTTGCAGGTCAAGATACCTAACAGGTTCATCGGTTGATTTAATGATTATCTAATGGCTTTGGAATGTAGTTCGAGTTCTTGAACATGATAACAACTCCTACTGGCGTCTAATTTTTTATCCAAGGTCCTTACCTAACAGGTTTTTGGCAAAATCCCGAAAATTTACATAAAATTTCACAACAGATAATTCTCACCGTTTGCATATTTATTTATAGGATGAGTGTGACCTAGGTCCTGTTCTTTTGTCTACAGACAGATGGGGGATTATTTCATACGTTTTGATTAATATATAGTATGTATTTCTGTAAAAGTTACCGTAGTTTCTCTAGAGTAACGAAACAACTCCAAATCCTTTTACTTGTCATTTCCAAGCCATTATTCTCATATTTATATGGATTCTTCAAAATAACTTTCGAAAGATTATGAAATATTGCAAAACATAATTTGTTAACCTTTCAAACCATAGAAGGTTTAGTACTTCTTCGTAAGGATACCACATGGAAAGTGTAAATGCTGGTTGTTTTCCATAAGGGGTTCACCAGTTTGAACAAGTAATTGTATTGTAATATTTTTTAAATTGAATAGGGATTTTATGATACTGTGTTTAAAAGCTCCTTATGAGTACTTTGCAACCTTAGGGAATACAAAATCACTATATTTTAAATTTAAATCATTTTTTATATTGAATCGCTTATAACTCAACAATTAATCATCATTACGTTATAGTATGTTATATCAAGCTTTGTCTTTCAAAGGGTCTATCTGAATGTAAATTTTAACATGAGATATTCACTTTGCAAAATATTGGCACATTTTGACATCTTTTTAAATTGAATCTCTCATATTTTGTTGAACCTACAGTATCGAGCAAAAGTAGAGAAACAAACCACATTACAAATAAATTTAAAGAAGGTTTTACTCTTACCCAAAACTGTACACAGTTTTTTATTTATGACTAACTCAAGACAATGAAATGCTTATCTCTCTATACATTCTTTTTTTTCAGTATAATATGGTCGGTTTTTTGTTCAAGGAGGAGAAGTAGAGCCCTCCTAAGACTGGTAGACCGCGAAAAAACACACCTAGGATTGATAGGAAAATTAAAACTCTTGCTCTTAAAAATCCATTTACTACTGCTGTCGACATAAAAGCTCAATTTGAAGAAGTAAATATTGGTGTCCACACTGTTCGAAGACGTTTAAGGGAGAGTGTTTTACCAGCAAACGGACCATCTAAAAAACCCTTTATTTCCAAGAAAAATCGGACCGCCCGTCTTGAATTTGCTTACGATCATTTCAACTGATCAGGAACAAGGCGGAATTCTGTATTATTTTCTGATGAAAGTAAATTTAATTTATTTTCATCGGATGGGTAAGACGTCCTAAAAACAAGCGATTTGATCCTAAGTACACTTTGGGCACAATCAAACATGGAGGCGGGAATGTTCAAGTATGAGGTTGCTTCTCTGCTCTTCAAATGGGACACATCGTAAAAATTGAAGGAATTATGGACCGGTACAAATACTTGGAAACCTTAACGGATACCATGCTACCTTACGCAGAAGAAAACATGCCTCTACGCTGCGAAAGTAAAAACATTTTTTGCAGACCACAATATTATTGTCATTAAGTGGCCAGCTCAGAGTCCAGACTTTAGCCCCATAGAGAACCTATGGGATTTATTTGATAAAAAAATTCAGATTAAACATCCAGAAAAGTTCAAAAATAATGCTAACTATTTGAAACAAGTCGCCTGGAATTCTACTCCAAAAGAAACAATAGAAAGCCTAATTGGTTCTATGTCTATGTCTAGCATTTATCAAAAATTAAGATTATGCCACCAAGTATTAGCGTCTTTGTATACGAAAATTGCTTTATATATTACGTTTCTCTATTTTTGCTCGCATTATTCTATAATAATAATTGTTAGCATAGTTTTATTAAAGAAATTTATTTTCATGTTGGCTTTGAATTACATGTTACATTAAGTTATAATAAAACATAAGTGTTTAGTTTACCTTAATAGTTTAATAAAATCTTTAAAAAAATAAAATGTTTCTCCACTTTTGCTCTTACCTACAAAAGAATATTGGTATAACATATCATAGCGTTTTGGTGATTGGTTGTCGAGTTACGAGTATAAGCGTCGCTATGTAGAAAAACCTTCAACTTCAATAGCCTGCCAGTTCACCATTTTCAAAGATAAAGATTTAATGTTGTAGTGTTATGAAGTATACTTATATCTTCAAAATGAGATATTCCATTGAATTCAAAAAAGGTCCAAAAAGGCGACCAGCCACCATCTTGATATGTTTGACTGCCACTTTTACGCTAATATATAACGTACAAATTTTAAAGAAATAAGTAGGGAAAACTTTTTTGAAAAGCAGTGTGTACGTACATTCGTGCTTTTATACAATTACTCGTAGAGTCTTTTATCTACAGAGCTTAAAAATACACCTGATATCAACTAACGGATACCATGTCAGACCTACACAGATCAAAATGGTTGTGTACAGATTTACCAATGGGCACCTTCGCACTAAGGAAGCTATTGGGGGTGTTTCTACCCTTCTGGCTATGGTGATCAATTTTGTTGGATCGCCATTCTTCCAGTAATGTTGACAAATTGCCAAAAAGTTGATGAAACTAAGCTTTGTTGTGGAAAGCTTTTATGTACTGATGTAAATAAAGGATCATCAGAAAAATGGAGTCGAGTATGTTGATTCTGCACCTGCCAAGCAACGCTGTAATCGGTCCATAAAAGATTGTGTTCATCATAAGTTAGTCTGTCTTAGAAATAAGTTAATTACGACCATCTATTACAAAAGAATCTGATAGATCAAGTCAGTCAGATAGGTCTATGCAGTATCTAGCCCCAGGTCTTTCCCCCTCACACTGAGAATCTGGATGCCTCTCAAAACTTGCATGTTTAGTATAGTTTTGTAAAAAACTTCTGGGGGCGCCTGTCTGAGGCATTATTCCAGCCGATGCGTCTGCGGTCGACAGGACCCAGACCCTGGCTGATCAGAAGCGTATAAAGCGTCAAAAAACAAAGTTTGTGAGAGTTATATTTTTTCAGCTACAACTGGATCGATTTTTAAACACGACAAAGCTTTTTCGTTTTCATTTCCCACGTCAATTGGCAAGAAGAGCTGTACTGAGAAAAGTTTGGAAATGTCTTTCATTCTTGTCGTGTCCTCTGGTTGTGTCTGTCGCTTGTCCGGTAATCGTTCCAGTAATATTTGATCTCTTTGTAACTGGGAACGTAGTACGGTTCTATTCAGATTTTACTAAAATTTTAAAACAGAGCTTCTGCCATGCAAAGGATGGAAAAGCTTTGTAGGCCTTGCAAATCGGTCTAGTGACAGCGGAGTTATGAGCGGAAAATCAAAAATTTACAAACTTTGTTTAGCAATGGCGTGGCCAGAAAAATATTTCTGGAGGAGTTTTATTTTTTAGATAATTCAAAACTTCTTTGAGATTTGCATCTTTCTGGTCTCTTTAGGGCGTAGTAAACACAATTAAGGGACTCAAAAACTGTGGAGTTTGTCTCATATTTTACTTATCACTAATATTGTTTAGAATGTTCTTGCACTAGAATGTTTAATAGATTTACATCCGTTCGTTCGAAATATTGAGTCAACCTACTTGTCAATATTCTTTAGCCTTACTAATTCAAACAAACAATATTTCAGAATGGATGCACTGAGCCCCAAGACGGCTGCCCTCCACCCAGCGAGAGCGATATGAAGAAGTCGCAGAGGCAAAGCGTCCATAGCACAGTCAGCAAGGACTTGACCACCCCAACTGCCACTACGCCCACGTCAACGACGAAGCCCTGCGCCACCACGTGTCAAGACAAGAAGAAGAAGCCCAAAATCTCGGTGGCACGTGCCAACCGAGAGAAGAAACTGAAGAACACTTTCGGCTGGGCTCGCATTGACATCATGATGATGCTCATCTGCTGTGTCTTCCTTAGCTCATTTGCCTTCTCCATCGTCGTGGAGGCGCTGCAGACGCTAGTGCATATTGATCACCAAGATGCCATCCACCATCCGTTCTCTGTCATGTGCATAGGTGAGGTAATGGGGTAAATTTTCTCTGGACTCAATACTGTTTTCTTAAACGTCAGTCGTTCCTACAAAATTGTAGGGCCTCCTTGATGTTCATAGTTTTCTAATGTTCCGTGTCAGCGCTCTATTTTGAGGTCATGTCACAAACACCTATTTGCATAAAATTGTTCATGGTTCTGATTTATATTATCTGTTTTACCTGCCTGACGCTGAGACGAAACAGGTGAAGTCTAGAAATACCCCAACCCTTCTGAAGGAGAGAAAATACTATGACAAACGAGGCCATAAAGGCGTCCTACAATTGTAAGAACGACTGACTCTACGGCTCTTAGGGATATTCTTAAGGCTCCCCAGTACCCAGCGCGTCCTAAAGAATTGTAGCGAGATGTGCATTTCCAAGTTAGCCAATGGGCGTGTCTTCAGTTCCCTTTCTTCCGCTTCCTTCAGTGAGCAAAAAACGGCATCAAGTAGGTTGACTCTGCACTCCCCATGCTACGCTGTTATCAGTTCATACAGGATTACGTTCGGTACAACGTCAGCTCGCCTGACAAGTTGTGACGTGATTGCAATTTTGCGCTGAACAAGCCCTCACAGATTCGAATGGGTAGCTTCTTGGTGAAGCTGACATCCTCCAAAGCTGAATGATTGTTTGGATGCATCTCATTCGGGTTGCGGTTACCAGCTGCTTTTGTCAAGAACAGTCCTCAACATTAGTATTGTGCGAACAATTCAGAAGAACAATGTTTGAATTCTAAATGTCAAAATTCTATAATTTTTTTCCTTAACATGCTTTAAGTCTATGGTGAATGTATTTGTCACCTAAGAGAGTACATTTCTGAGAGTAGATCGATCTACCAGTTGCCTAATAGTTTCTCTCACTGCATTTGCTGGTTCTCGTAACAAGTATAGTTTCTATGCTCTGGTCTATCATAATTATTCCAATCGCTGATTAGTTTAAATTACCTGTTACAAACTTATCCATGTTTTTTTAAAGCAGCTTAACCAATCTTCATGTTCCTGCGTACCTATATGCTTATCTACAACTTTGCGATTGACATAATTTCTTATCTGATATAACGGTATTTTTATTCTTTATTAAGAAATTTCAGAGATGCACTTAGCTATATGTTTAAATTAAATATCTTACTCTTTCAGTGCCCTTATAAAACTGGTTTTGATTTTTGTTTTGATTCCCAATTGGATACGTTTTGAGAGTAGAATCATACCTATTATCTTTGCTGCTTTTTTAAGGTCACCGACAAACTTGCATATTCAATCCATGTCGAGACACCACGCTTGGGATATAAAAACAACTTATGTTTAGCATACTTCTGTATCCAGTTATTAGTTCTACGATTTATTCCAAAATTTCTGATAATGACAGGTTAACAACTTGGTCGTTCATCCTATGCGGTATTTCCAAAACGGCCGATGAACAATAACAACCAAGTTCACCAAACTTTAGCGATGCTAATTATTATTCAAAATGCAAATTTCCAGAATGCGTATCTTATGACCGGGAGGGAGAGGGTCTTTCTTCACATCCTCATGCAGCCGCGATGAAAAATCCTAAATATCAGTCCAATGTGATTCAACAAATAATATTTCTGATGCAAAAGTATATTCAAAAATAACACAAAGCTTCCGATAAACATAGGACTTTAAATGCCCCATTACCAAGATATAGGGTGGTGATTCAAAAAATGCTGTGGTGGGGTGGGATTACCCATTATATTACATACATATTAAACGTCACTACCTTCACCACATTTTCAAAGTAGGAAAGAAGTTCTTTATACGGATTATATCTCAAGCATTTGACTCAATTTTTCTATAAAAGGAATGTTAAAGTGAATAAAGTAAGAATGCATAGATGTTTCAAATAAGTCAGTAACGTGTGGTATAAAAGAAATATTCCTACCCAAACTGGAAAAAGCTATAACCAAACCAATATCTAAATCTGGAAATAAACAAAAAATATTAATTATATGATTTCTGTATTTACAATTTTTCCTAAAATTGTGGAAAAAAATCTGACAAAGCTACTCTCAGATGATTCGGCGATTATTTATTCACATAATGATTGGGACTTAATTATTTTCAATTTCTTCATTACATTGATTGCTTCCAGGTGTGGCCGGCCTGCTCCTAAACCTAATCTGCTACGTCCTGATTGGAGGATACACGTTTCACCATGCAAGTTACTTGAGGGTAACTGCTGCTGGCGATGTGGTACTGGACAGAGTGGTGGTAGCAGCCCATGGAGGAGGAAGGAGGTTATCCAGGACCAGACGCACGCATCCTACAGTACAGGCTGACAGGAAGCTCAGGCAGGGTGTTTGTGAGACAATCAGGGACATTACTGGTAAGAGAATACGCTTTTCAGCTGAAGGTTTTGGCTTTCCGATGCTATTATTTCTGAACCATTATTATAAAGGGTGTAAAACATTAGCAATATTCAGTTAGGGTTACTCCGTCTCTGAAGATCTGAGTGAGTTGATTTTTTTCATGAAAATGAAGTGGTATTTTGAGAAGTCCAAAGAATTACCCCTTGAATTTTTGATTAAATACTAACGACGCTTGGTGATCAAATTTAATTTTCAAATTATGGTACTTTTGCTAGTTAACACCTACCTATATGTGTTATTTCTTCTAGGTTGCATTTTGGTGATAGTCTGTTCCGTACTAGTCATATTCGCTGATAAAGACATCACAAAGTTTATAGATCCGGTGCTATCACTGATTTCTGTCTGTACAATAATGACGTTGAGTTATCCATACAGTAAGTATTCTATTATACTTTTTATTTGAATAAATAGTTACTCTGGTTTACTTTTGGGACATATATTTTACGACGTTATATTATAAAAAGCATAGACACAAGTATCGCGTCAATCAGTTTCGATTGAAAGTAATGTATTACAATCTTTTTCGTACAATATTTTGCAGCACTCATTGTTCAGTTCTACAAATCGGTCAGAAATATTCCTTTCGACTAAACATCTGCTGCCTACTTTTAGTTAATTTCACTTGCATTATGCATACCTATTGTGGTAACATAAGATGAGCATAAAGAACAGCTATTCATTACACCGAAACCTATCGTAGATCATAGAATAAGCGAATAAATTTTTACATTTCTCAAATAGTCTTTCATTATCTAGAGAAGTTTCTATCCCGCCATACCAATACTATGCGAGTAGGTACATGGTTACATGGAAAATCGTACAGAATATTTAAGGACGTTGTAGGTGCGGTCATTATGGACAGACTTGATCATTCGTTGATTTTTCAGTCAATTTCAAGATACCCCACTTTCATGATTTTTTTGGAGAAAGCCATAGTTTTAATAATTCAACGATATAATTCAGCATCATTTTGATATTTTTACGTAATAGGTATGTCTGAAACTGCAACCAAAGTTGGAAAGTAACAAGTTTTGAGATCTATCAGGTATCTAACAATAGGAAATATTACATATTACTTTTCTACACCGCTTACTCGATTAATCATGCCTAGACGCATTTCGTCCCTTAAATGTCCTTTAATCTTGGTATTGTAATATTTTTGGGACCTATGTTTATGGACAGCAGTATTTGACAAAATTACCAGATTTTGAGGCTCAATTAGGAAGTATGATTTAGTTCATAAAAGTAAATATATATTTTTGTAAAAACGATGAAAAGTGAAATTTCAAAACCTTACTTTTATCATTTATACAAATTTCTTGTAAAATGACACAATGAAATTACAACGTATTTCAAAATTCTGCACGACTTTGCCTGTAACCCTGTATATGATTTATTTCCACTCAACTGAAAATTTTCGATAAAATAAGGTAAATACTTTGTTTTTCAGTGAAGGAAAGCTGCTTGATTCTGCTACAAACAATGCCAGATACCATCGATATCGACACTTTGAAAGCTGACCTTTTGACGCACTTTCCGGATATTGTTAACATACACGACGTGCACGTATGGCAGTTAACTGCCAATAAAGTCATTTCGACTGTCCATATTATATTTCAAAACCCCAAGGTACTACTAGTATAATACTTATCTTATTTCTTCTTCTTCTTTTATTTATAATGGCGATTTATCGTTTCCATAGTGACCCCTATGGGTATCGAATGAAAGGTCTTGATGAGAGAAATATACTAAGTGACATATAAATCCGAACACCCAGTTTAAATGGTTTTATTTTAATAAAAGTTGGTGAATGTATTTATCTTACTATAAATAACAAGTGAAAAAATTTTCAGCCTTATCAGTTGGACATTCCGGTTTTTATACTGCTTTTTTTTAATTCACTAACGCTCTAAAAATGAATATTTCAGCCGCAGTAAAGAATCAACGTTGGCGGATTTTGGTTCTTGACATCCTTTACGATCGGTTACGATGCCTAGAGTACGGAGACCTGTACGATTTCGACAACTTAGTGAGTTTGATAGGGGCCGTATAGTGGGACTTCGGGAAGCTGGACTTTCTTTTCGGGCAATTGCAGTTAGAGTGCAAAGAAGTGTAGACACTGTGGTTAGGTGTTGTCAGGCATGGCTTCGAGAAGGCCGTACGCAAAGAGTAAGGGGCACTGGACGCCGCCGTAGAACAACAGACCGTGAAGATCGCCGTCTAAGATTATTGGCCTTAAGGGACCGTTTCTCCACTACCAGGTCCATTGCAAATGAATGGTTTGCAGAACACGGAAGACCTATTGGCATGCGAAGTGTTTACCGACGAATGAGAAGTTTTGGCTTGTTTCCATACCGGCCACACTGGGTCCTCCCTTTAACTCGAGAACACCGACGTAATCGCCTTGAGTGGTGCAGTGGAACAGTATTGTCTTTAGTGACGAGTCTCGATTTTGTTTAGGCATGCACGATGGTCGTGCCAGGGTTAGAAGGCGACGTGGTGAAAGGAGGAGTCCACAGTTTTTTGTTGAAAGACATGTTCATCACACTGTTGGAGTTATGGTTTGGGGTGCTATAGCTTCTGGTTCCAGGTCACCTTTAATCTTCATCAGAGGTAACATGAACGCGCAGCGTTATGTCCACCCTATCTTGACACCCTGGCAGATCCAACTTTCCAACAAGATAATGCCCGAACCACATGTTGCAAGAGTCACAATAGACTTCTTTCAACATAATGATGTCACATTGTTACGATGGCCACCAAGATCTCCCGACTTATCCCCAATTGAGCACGTGTGGGATATGATGGGTAGGAGATGCTCAATTTGCAACGTCCTCCTCAGACTCTAGAAGCACTTCGAGAGGAGTTGGTGGTTGCCTGGAATGAGATACCACAGGAGGACATTGACCACCTGATCAGAAGCATGACTAGGCGCGTTGGAGAATGCGTAGCACATCAGGGTGCATCCACACATTATTAAAGGTCAAAGGGCTTTAAAGCAGTGCAATCATTTTGAAATTTTTATCATTTACTTATTATGCTTCATTAAGTACTTATACAAAAATTTATTAAAATAAAACCATTTAAACTGGGTGTTCGGATTTATATGTCACTTAGTATACAATAAGTGAAATGTCGTCATTCTAAGTCCAATTTGCTCTCGTAGCAACATGGCTACTTAGTTTTTAACCAGTTAACCGATTGAGCTAAAATTTCATATACGACGCATTTGCTTCTCATGACAATACACAATAAATTAAATGCCGATATTTTTAATCCAGTGTGTCGGGTGCTTCGAAATATCATTTTCCTAACACCTTAATATGGGTATCAAATGAGGTGGACACTAAAAATTGAAATTTTATGTACTCATGGTGTAGGCTTGGTCTCGGGTAGAACAACGAACAAAATCTAGAGTACCTGCATAAGGTCTATTAGAATAGAACAACGCAAAGTGCCATCTATTACCAGAATCAACTACTGCCTGCATGAAAACAGCAAGCCGTCTGTTTGAACTGTACCCAGTTCGCATTGCCAGCCGAGTTACCACTGTGACCGCTAAATGCCACCAACTCTGGTGCTATAGTAGATAAGGACTACTCGTCATTGAACAAACTAGTAGTAATACAGCTTTTGTTCGTTCGACCAAGGACGGCTAGCCATGGACAGCTGTTCCGTGCTATTTGGCAACTCCTCAGTATGGTGTAGGCGTAGTCTCAGGTATTACAACGAACGAAAGCTGAACAACTGTTTAATAGCGGCGCACCAGAATCGGCGGCCTCTAGCGGCCACAGTGGTGATCTGGCTGACCACGTGAACTAGGGTCAGTTCCAACAGACAGCTTGCTGTTTTCACTCTCGCAGAGGTCGACTCTGGTAATAGATGGATTTTAAAAGCTAAATAGAAGCTTAACTTATATTTTTTATTTTATTTATTATCATACTTCGCTGCACGATGCAACAAAAAATCTGCAGTAGGCTTCCCTTACTACGAGATTCCTAATAACAGGTTCACTGAAAATAAAGTAGTTTGAGAATGTTTTAAGACATAGCCAGGCTATCAGTCTTTTTTTGAAAGTTCTTATTCGAATATGAAATAAAACTTAGGACATACAGATTGATTCAGAAAGCACTGGCAACATAACTAGGACAGAAAGCAGGTCCAAAAGTAACAGAAAAAGTTTAGTAAATATGGTTTCTAAAGTACCTCCTTACCAAGATACAGGGTGTTGAAGATGAAATTTCAAAATAACAACAAAATTATAACTTCGGAGTGGAAACAGGTATACCTATTGACTTAAAATTCTGTATATGCAGTACTACGAGGGATGTTATTTAAGTTTTGCATATAGAAACTTAGTAGGCCGCGCGGATCAAACGTCAGTACTGAATCTTAACCTCACTCTTTAGTAAACTTAAATTCAAAGTTTCACAACGATTCGTGCAGTGTTCTCACTACAGTGAATTTTTAAGTGTCACCAAGTCATTAGAAAAATTGAACTCAACCGAGAACATTTTCGCGCCATAATTTATTACAACTTTCAGAGACAATTATCGCAACAAGAATGCCTTGCTGAGTTACTGTCTGTTTTCGGTAACGAAGCGCCACATCAGTCGACAATTTCCCATTGGTATGGAGAATTCAAACGTGGACGGGTCTTAGCGACGATCCCAGGGTGGGTGCACCAAAACCGGCAGTCACCCAGGAAAACGTCGATGCTGTGCGCAAACTCATTATTGAATATAGACATGTGACATATCGCGAGATTGAGGCGTCCTTGAAGATCTCAAAGATCTCAATTCAAACAATTTTACATGAAGAATTAGGAGTAAGAAAACTGGTTTCTCGTTGGATACCCCACCTGTTTACTGAAGAGCACAAAGCAGCCAAGGTTAATTGGTGTCAAAAAACGCTTGACCGTTTCAATTCCGGAAACTCAAAAAATGTGTACAGCATTGTTAGTGGTGATGAATCGTGGATTTACTGTTATGAACCAGTCCGCTGTTTGGGTGTTCCAAGGTCAAGGAAAGCCAACAAAAGTCATTCGTTCTCGAAGTGTTTCGAAAAAGGTGGTCGCGACATTTGTGTCAAAAGCGGGTCATATTGTAAAAATTTCTCTTAATGAGCAAATAACTGTTACTGCGGATTGGTATACCACCATTTGTTTGCCAAAAGTCATCACCGAGCTTCGAAAAATCAACCCCGAAAAAAGAATCATCCTCCACCAGGACAATGCAAGCTCGCACACAGCCCAAAAAACAAGGCAGTATTTAACGGAAGAAAACGTGGAATTATTGGACCATCCTCCATATAGTTCCGATCTAAGTCCTAACGATTTTCTTTACTGTCCCGAAAATTAAAAACAGACTGCGTGGTCAAAGGTTCCAGTCACCAGAAGAAGCAGTTGACGCATTCAAAAATGCCGTTTTGGATCTGCCAGCAAACGATTGGAATAAGTGCTTCGAAAATTGTTCAAGCGCATGCAGATCTGTATTAATTTTCGTGGAGAATACTTCGGAAGGACAATAAAGTTATTTAAAACTGCCTACCGTGTTGTTTTATTTCCATATGCAAAACTTAAAAGACATCCCTCGTAAATTCTTAAGCATTACAAGCAAACGTTTCGTGTTCTAACCAAAGTAGTGGCATAGAAATTGAGATATTTTGTGCCCCATACAAGAGAAAAGAAAATATTTTCTACCCTACTGACTTCTCTGAACTATCTATTGCATTTCTAGATAAGGTACTGAATTTTACATTATTGTTTCTGTTCATGCATCAGCTAAGAAATATTGCCTAATTGAAATACGACATTCTCAACAACATCTCAGTCATAAAGCCTATCTTGCTGAATGTTATGGTTAACATGTGTTCGAGAAGCATAATATATGTTCAACACTTAAGATATGTTATCATACTAGGTTAAGTTCTCATTCGTATAACACATTTTCAAAACAAATTCATTTTAATTATCGCTTAAATAAAAAGGTTATAATGAATTTAAGCAATAAGGTTCATTTTGCGCCACCCTGTGTAACTCTGTTATGTAGTTCAATATTGGGATATTTTGCATGTTAAATATTTTTAGAATGTACCGTCAGATGCATATTTCATTCATATCTTTATTACAGGTTTACAATAAAATTATGGAAGAGGTGAAGAGTTTCTTTATTGAGAAAGGCATTACACAAGTAACTATCCAACCAGAATTCTACAAAACTCATCCGAGTACCGAAAGTCTTAACAAACTGATTCCAGACTGCCTTATGGCATGCCAAGGAGAACTTTGCAAAGAAAATCATTGCTGTCCGGATATTGTGGTGAGTAATTAAGCTCGTCAGGAAAAGTGCATTTCGTCAAAATTAACATCTTCTAAGGAATACAACATCTTTGAAACCTGAAATAGATTCAATCTTTATATCAACAAATCAAACACTATTAGAGCAGGTGAAGACCAGTACCTGTAGAAATATATTCCCTCGAAACCTATCGAAAAGTACTGGAAAATGTAATTAGTGATATCATTTTTCGTATATAACTCCCACCAAGATAAAAAGTTGGACTCATATCATTTCTCACTTTTAATAATACTAGAGAAGCAAATCGTCTGTCTTAATCTTCGAATTTTAGGATATAATGCTAAAAGTGTTCAATGTTGCACTTTACTCATAAAGCCGACTCGCGACGTTTCGATATTTATTTGATTTCTTCAGGGCTACAGAATGCGAAAAATAAATTTCGAGAAAACATAAAAATACCAAATAAGTTTATATGATTAGAAAACGGGTGAAAATAAACTGAGATATTACATACATAAGCAAATAAAAATATACGACGATGGAAGCACGTGAAAATATAAAAACTTTAAGAAATAATATATCACTAATTTAATGAAGTTAGTAATTAAAACTTGATCCAAAACATGAGGCTACGCAAAAACTAATTAAAAACAATAAATATGTATACACAGTGGAAAATAGCAACCTTATCAAATGAATGATGCAACAAACAAATGAATGTCGAAACGTCGGCTTCATGAAATCACTGCAAAATTGTGAAGATTAAGACAAGTATCCTGTTTCACCTACTGGGATAAGAACTTTTGTTGTCATTTGTATATTGGGCAGTCTGTATACTAATATATATTTGCAGGAGAAAGAAAGGGAGAAGAAGCCGTTCAAATCGTCCAAAGAAATCCTTCCCGAAAGCTGGACTCCTGACCTGCGAGCAATCAGGATCATGAACGACGAGACCACCAAAGCCTACACCATCAGCTCCAGTTTGAACAATTCTCTAGCATATGAAGTTGCCAGGCATAATAAAATAAACAAATCGTTCGACGAAATCCCTAAAGAAAGAGACATCATCAACAATAAGATCATTCCGGACAGCGAAGCTAGAATAGATGCCAAAATCAACCGAATTTTGAGTAGATCACAACGACCGCTCAGTCAGAACACAGACCAGAAGGAAGAAGAAATGACTTTGAATGTAGAAAGGCTCAGTAAAAGTGTTAGTACCCTCGATGAATGCAAGCTTGACCACGATAATCATGTTCACAAGCCGTTAAGAGTTTGCGAACATATGGAACAGAAAACCCACTCCAAAGAGAATGCCAAGATCAGTGACCATGAACACAGTGTATCAGAAGAAAGTGTAGGTGAGACTAAATGAAATGACACATATACAGTTACTGACAAACGTTTTTGATACATCGTGTGTTCGTCTCTATCAATAAGGCTGTGTTAATTTATTTTTAGTTATACAGAAAAACCACTCACGTATAGGAAAGTGAATTTTCCATTTACATAGTTATTAAGCAATCTGATCAATAGAATACAAAATATAATGTGAGTTGCAATAATAAAGTAATTACGAAGGAATCAAGAGGACTTATTTAGTAGACATGAATTCCCATATATAAATGTGTGAAAGTTACAAGTTGCGATAGTTACTTAGGATGTTTGGACATTTTGAAGGTTGGTGCGAAATAGTTCTGTTGAAAACGCAAAATAGCTGCTGTTTCCTGCAATAACTCGAGAACTATATGCGCTAGAGGAATGAAAAGTAATATACAGGTCTTTGCATGGTTTTCGGTAGGTCACAGTAAATCCTGTATATTTAGTAAAAAAGCTAGGTCAAATATACATAATGTCAATATAAGATATCAAAACCATTTCACAATGCCCATGTATGTAACATCACTCTTTTATGGGTCACTCACGTATAATGCTCTCGTTAACACATATAGCAGGAATATTGATATATCAAATAGCAATATCATCTGTTTCAAACTGCATCTCAGACTAGAGCAATGAATAAATGCCCATTATTGTCTTTTTTAATTAGATTCATAGACATACAATCGTTTACTGGATATATAAAATATCATATTTGCTTGTCAAATTAGTATTAGGCTTTTAAATTCACATGAAGAAGTATTGGTAGACGTGGTTTTGAAAACACCGCAGGTAAATTTATTCTTTGCATCATCTTTAGGATTTAGGTAAATGTAACAAATGTATGTTTTACACAAATAGCTGAATGAAGCAGAGTGCTAAAAAATCACCTAATAACTGTATCTAACATTTGGTATTTTATAGGTATGTCAGAAACAATGAACCAACAATTCTCCAGTTGTTAGACACAATAAAAAGCACTGCGCTTACATGCTAAGGTTGTACTAGCATACTATTTTCAGACGAGTAAAAAAAATTTTGAAAGATACTAACTCCATTTAAGAGCAGTGACAATAAAAAATCAATGAAGACGTGTTTGGTTCTGCTATCACCTCATATATGGCACTGGGAGCTTCAATCCCCATTTGGCGCCTCTCTTACGTCTATTTCAATTGGCTATCCTAAGGTGAAGTACGTTAATCAATGCCTCAAAATACCCAATTAAAATAGCCGCTGGAAGGGGATTGGAGGTCCTAGCGCCCTCTATGAGAATGTAGCAGAAACAAACACTAACCCTTTTCAAAGTGGATTATTAAGTTGACTTTATTTTTTTTGAATCATTACGTTTAGAAATAAACCGAACATAGTTTATGACAATTGCATGGGAAGTCAAAATAAAGGATGATAAATGGGCGCGATAAAATCTGAAATCAAACACTACGTTATATTATGCTCAGACTTTTATTACATCAAACATAACGTACATGAAAATATGAAACTGTATCATAGAAAAAAAATAACACGAAACTGAATGAAACACATGCATGGTACAATAGTAATCGTAAGTTTTGCAGTATGCAGTAAAATGGAAAAGTGTACTGCAATAGACCTACGGTCTATAGAAATGTCTGTCATGTTCATTTCTGTCCGCATGTGTCCAGAGTCAAAAATATGTCCGAAATCGATGGAAACAAAACTATTATTAACATGGATTATATGCTTCACACGGCTCATGTGTCAAATTATAATACTCGAGATTTTACGTAGTTGTACAGTAATCTAGATTGTCACTAGTGGGAGTGGTTTGGTTACTGATGAAGAATGATTGAATAATACTATGGTGGTTGTTCTATCTGAAGTATCAAGCAAAATTTTTCAATATCTAGCAAGGGCGTCTGCAAAATTAGTTTCAGGAGAAGGGGGAGGGCAAAAAAGGAAGAAATATGAAATCACTTTAGAGAAAATGATATTAGTATTCAAATCAAACAATCAGAAGTAATCAAAGTTAGTTAAACTGAAAAGGTCATCTTTATATAATAAATATATAATTATAAATACAGAGTGACTTTGAAGTTGAGTCATTAATTTTCAGATAATGATTGTAGAAGGAAGATAAACCAAAATATGTGTCTAAAAATAAAAAAAAAATAAAAAAAAAATTTTACCTTGTTTTATAAAGTATCCTCCCGACAAGTATTTCAGTGCGGACCTGTATTTGATCGTGAGGTCTCCTGTGAGGTCTTAAGTCACCTGATTCACGAGGCCGTTGTACTACATTAACAAAGGCACGAGGGGTTGGTTGCACTCGATTGGGAAACCGATCCGCATAAACATGTGTCATTTTTTATTTCGTTTGAGCCACGCAACACACTATTCACTGACACTGACTGTATACAAATGAATAAAATAATTGTAAAAACATCGTTCCAAATTCTTTCGCTTTTTTGTTTCCGACGCGATGAACCGATACGGCGGATTATATCCGTTGTCGCCAAACACGAGCACATAATATTATTATTGAGACAGGGCGGTACTCAAACTTCCAAAGGGCTATAACTTTGTTACTTTAATTTTACCAGAAAAATGGTAAAGGAAAAAAACATTTCTTTTGATCAGATCTACTCACTATTAAAGTATATATAATATATAATAAAGTTAAGTTGATTTTTTATATTTAAAGACGTACTTCTAAAGTTAAACCTCTTTTATATTACACTTTCAAAAAAGAATTTTCAATATGCCGGTTAGATGTGATGAAAAACATGTTTCTCTTTAACCAGTTTTTTTTATGAATAACATGACATGTACGAATGTTATCAATGATGTAGATGCGTAATTATCAATTGCCTGGATCTACCACAGTCTGTTTTTTCTGTAGCAAGCTAAGTCTGTATCATATGTCTTTTTTATAAATAATAGTCTATAAGCCTGTGTTCTCTACAAATAATAATGCGTTATAGATGTCAAAATGTCAAATGCAGATAAAATACTGTAAGCATCTTGTCTTGTATAAAATCAGTTTATCGAATATCACACAAATGTTTACGAAGTTAAAATACTATCAAAAATTTGGAATGTTAATGATAGGCAGTCGTTACAAGAGCATATTCCTGATCAAATTCAGTAAATAATACAACATTACAAAGTAATGAACAGCACAGCAAACCCACCCATCTTCAACTATATTTTGTTTTACAACAAATTGCCTGTTAGCATAAAATCAGTCCTTGCTAATAATTTATACAAGAAAAAAATACTGTATTGCAGTGTGCATTGCAATAAGATGACAGGTTAGTATGAATTAGAAGATAATTGTGAATTCCAGTGGTATTTTTCGAAACTGTCTCACAAATAATATTGACAAAAAATGTGTACGCCATGATTATAAAAAAAATATTTTTCTTTTCGAATTAAGTAGGTAAAAATAAAACTTTTTTGTCTCTCGGTATTAGTGGCGAAGCGTCCATGTAACCATTATTACCATTGGTAACACTTAAAAATCTTAAGAATAAATATTTTATGACCAAGTACTGTGAAATAAGTTCATTTATTTGTTTACCAACAGCGATATGTAACACGATGAAGCTGACTCGCCTCGACTTGGTTGTCGGTTGTTACCACTTTCATTTATCGATACACTTGGTAGTCCGTCGAGGACCGTCGCGTACCGGCTCGTAGTAGTAGTAGTTTGATATTTCAAATTAAGCTGGTATATGGAAACTCTTGGTTATGTGGTTGCAAAAAAACAAATTGTATTGTTGGCGATGTCTTCTGTTTTATATAGAAAAAATGGATAGACCAGCAGCGGAGTCAACGATTTAAATAGTTTTAGGGCTCTAAAGAGGAGACATGAAATTTCTCCGTTAGATGCGAGATGTGTAGCCAATTTAACTCAGTTTGGCAAAACAAAAATCGAAAGTTGTTTTAACCAAGCTTTTAGGCAGTAGGGGAGACTAGGGAGGCTTGGGACTAGGGAGGAATGAGACACTACATTTATTTAATAAAATCGGGTATGCAGAGCCATCTGTTGGTTACTGGTTAATAACTTTAGTCAAGTCTCTCACCGCTTGGCCAGCGAACCGGCGAGAATAATTAGTAGAACATTGTTGTTAGTGCACGTGCAAAATGGCTGCCAAAACTAAATTTTAATTTTGTGATATCGTTGTAGTTTGCAGCAAGTTATAGTGAAAATTTGAGTTGATTGTTGAGGCATTGTGAACGCAGGTATGTTGTGAATTATTTATATAGGTATCTCATAAAATAGAAGTTTAACAAGTATTTTAGGTTAGATTATTTTATGAAATGCTGTATAGGGAGATATGAGACAGCTGTTTTGGGGAGACATGAGACGTCTCATACCTCCCTATGTCGCGGTTTATAAAATTCTATGATCTAACATTCCGGTTAAACATGTGATTGACTGGATTATTAGTATTTTTGGACAATTAAAAAATGCTAACTGGATAATATTGTTCCAATATGCCCCATTTTTGGATTAAGAAAACGAAACGAATAGCCCGTCCTCCTGATGTGATGAGAACCGCAGTGGAAGAAGTTCTTGGAGGAGCAAAATTACGCGCAACTGCAAGGAAATATGATATAGACAAACAAACGCTTAGCAAATATGTGAAAAAAAGGAATTTGGATGCCCCTGCTGAAAACATTACGTATTCACCTGATTTTAAAACTGCGTTAGTGTTTACCCATAAAGAAGAGGCTATGCTGTCGGATTATCCAGTCCGTGCTTCGCAAATGCATCATGGTTTAACAGTTACATGCGCACGTCAACTAGCCTTTCAATTTGCTAAGGCTAACCATAAAAAATATCCTTTGAAATGGGATGAAAAATCAATTGCTGGCTACGACTGGTATCGAGGTTTTAGACATCGCCACCCCGAGTTATCGCTGAGGACTCCAGAGTCAACCAGTTTGTCACGATGTACGAGTTTTAATCGCACAAATGTTACCACGTTTTTCAACAATTTGGAATCGGTCCTAAAGCGCGAAAAGTTTGAATCTCATCAGATCTGGAACATCGATGAGACAGGGCTTATAACTGTACATAAACCACCCAAAGTCCTGGCAGCGAAGGGCGTTAAACAAGTTGGAAACGTCACGTCTGCTGAACGTGGCACATTAGTAACTGCCTGTTGTGGTATTAGTGCTGGAGGAAGATTCATCCCGCCGTTTTTCGTCTTTCCAAGAGTACA